TAACTGCTTTAAAGCACATTTCCCATAACTAATGATCAATTTTATAAGATGTCTGGTGTGCTGCTTTGTGTCAGGTTGGATTCTTTAAATAGAGCGTCTATGGAAATACTGAAAATATATGCTTAAAAACCTGAAAAATATTTTCTTTCCTTTGATACGTGCCCTAAAAAGTAGATTCCCAAAACTTATATGATTGATATTTATTAACAGTTAACTTGACTTTTAATTTTGACTATCATCCAATCTCTAAGTGGATGCAAGAAGTTGGCATACAGGGTTTAATATTGATATAAAGTTCACAAAATCGAGCATTTTCCCTTCTTAGTAACCATAGCAACAGTGTTGTTTTATTCATCAAATTTTATCAATATATGATATTCAACTTCAGTTCCAACAGATAAGAAATATTCAAGCTGAGTCCTTTAATTTTTTTCTTGATTACATGGCAAGTTAATTCTTAATGCAGCGAAAAATAATTCACTTTTAAGCACTGGTACTTTGTTTCCATGGTAACACTGCAAAGTAGCAATTATACCCAATTTTTCTTATGGTTTTGGTGTTGCAAGGTCCTAAGGATGCATATTTGCCAGTCTTGAATTTTCATGTTTTTCCTCAAGACAGTAGCATTTACCCAATCTTAGTTACAGGTTTTGCATGGTTACACTGTGTTACCATGGCAACCATAAAAGTTATTTATAGAACAATATTGCTTATACTTATATACTTAAGGTCAAACATTTTCATTGTTTTTCTTAAGTCGTTGATTGAGTTTGAGCATGTAACACCTACATTAGTAATTACGGAGTGTTTTTCAGCATATTTCAGCATTTTAAATGTATTCCAAATGTACCCTTGGTTACCACTTACTTAGAGATATATTCTAAACAGTTTCTTTACAGTATAAGTGACATCAATGTGTCATGTTTTTGTGAGAATGGTTTGTTTGCTTTTTCTAGTTTTTATTAAGCCACAGTCAAGATTTAAAGTGGCTGAAAATCTCGATTTTTCAAACTTTTCCGGCTGTTGCCATAGCAACCGAGACACATAGCAACGAAATTTTGTTTGATATTTGTTTCTGGTGTCAAGTACTAAGCATGGGTGAAGTTTCATCAAAATCGGTGACCATGCGTGGCAACGAAGTTTAAGTGGTGCTCTTAATGCTTGAAACAACCTTCAATCCGTATTGAACTAGGATTGTCGAATTTACAGTAGAAAAGATCATTTTTGTCTGCATGGTTACGGGTATGGAGGCTCTTTGTGACAAATGGAAAGAGTTCATGTATACGTTGTTCTGATGGAACCGATTTGTATCGTCTAAATGTAATTAATCGCAAACAATCTTTAAGATGTAACTTCTACAGGTAATCCCAAGCATAATGTTTCCTTTCTTGATATAAAGATTAGTGTTTAAGATTTTGACTCAACTCTGCTTCATATGAATACAAATAAAGGTCTGCTAATAACAGCACAGTACCATGATATACCTCTATTATTCGGAATTTACGTTGGAAGACCTGTTTAAGATTTTGACTCAACTCTGCTTCATATGAATACAAATCTGTTTAAATGTTAACTTTAAAGTTTGCGTACAATCAGAATAATTTTTGGAAGACAATTTTCCAAAACCACACCAATTGACAATTTAAACTAAGTAAATTTTTAAATGTTTTTATTGAAAAAGCAACAATTATATCGAAAAATTTTAACAAACAATTGGGGAATGGTGTATATAAAGTTGAAAGCTAAAGTATGTTTTATGTTGTTTTTATTGAAAAAGATTTCAATTATATCGAAATTTTCCAAATGTTCCTTGGGAATCTTTATATAAAGTTGAAAAGTCGTATGTTTTATGTTGTTGATTTTGATTTTGTGATTACACCACTTCTGAAATATATTGTTGCACAGTACTCCTGAAGTGTCTCATTCACTACTGTAAATAGTTTAATGAAAAGTAAAGAAAGGGCCCTGGTAGAAAATTTACTAGAACCCGTATGTAACTTTGTTTGTAAGGAATTTTATGAATTTTTGGAAAGCAATATAGATATGGTAATTCAAATTCATTTTAGTTGTTGAGACTATTAAAAATATTCAGAACTAACGTATAATTTCCTGAAAACTTTCCTGCTTAGAAAGGGAGCTATAGATATATGTTGGAGTACCACTTTTAGAATTAAAACCCAGTTTCTCTACAATAAATTTAAATACTGAGTCTTACAAACAAAGACAATGTTGATACCTGCTTCGTCAGCATACTGATCGAATAATCTAGTTTTTTTTTCACTTCTGAATTATTTAACAAAGAAGGATAGTTGGTTTTCATTTTGCCCATCAATCGCTAAACTGTACATATTAAATGGATTGTTTATTATAAATGGAGGCACTCAAATTGATATCATGGTAAAAGTATGTAATTCTAGCTTTCATTTAGAGCTGAACACGCTTCGTAAAAAGAATCTGTCCGCCATATTCGATTGGATTCTCGCTATATCTGAGGGTCCTATATAAAGCTTCTGACTTAGTGACTATTCAGTGTACTTAAACGTCACGAATGTACACGGACATATGCTATACAGCACTCGTTAGCGACAAAAAAAATTAGTGTGTAATTTTTCAAATGCAGGAGAGTAAGATACACTAAAGAACATGTTTACTCTGAATTTTCTGGATTGTATTATTTATTTTTTTCATTAATACACAACAAGATTGCCACCCACTTTTCCTAAGGATTAAGAATAAGTTAAAATTTGTGAAAGTGCAAGGATGTGTCAATCAAACCCGCCAAAAAATTTGATTTTTTATTAACTTTTAAATGAAATAAGAATCTTAATTAATTTTTGTGTAAAATGCTATTAATATATATAATTCGTGATATTATACAGAAAATATTAACTTCAAATCTGTGTCCAAGTACCCTTAATATCAATAGTTTGAACGTGTATAATTTGAAGCATATTTGTCTTGTTTCAGGAGACACATATTCAAGTCTTTTGTTCATGAAAGGGGAAGTAAAATGTAATTTTGAAGGAAACAAAGATATTTGTTTTGATCAAGACAAAGGTGACAATTTTGACTGGATAATTGCTCGGGTATGATTTTTTTTTAAAGCTTATAGATTTCTTAAGGAGGCTAGGGGTCAACAAATTATTTTTTAACCACCAGAGATAAGTTATTTTTTTTTAGTTATGATATCTTGAGCTGTCAACTATCATTTGGGAAAGAAAAATTTCATACATTTCAGTTTTAAAATTTGATCATTTTTTTAAAATAAACTTTTATATGGAGCGCTTCTTCTATAGGAGATCAAAACAGTCTAAAAATGACCACGACCACCCAGCCTCTTTAAGAGTCTTAATTTTCTTTTTCTTTATTTTATTTTGCAATTACTATTAATTTACACTGTACTTCATGTTTTTAAATCATATTTTGCCAAACATTGTTTTATATTTAATATATTTTATGCAGTTATGGTGCCTTAAAGTGCATTTTTTAAAATTCGAAATACATGTAAGCTCTGTCATCACAACTAAGAATGGATATAGCTGTATTTGTCTATATATCTGTATATATGTCGGCAAAATATTTCAGCTAAATCTTCTGTGGATTTACATGAAATGTTTTCTACGGATATATATACAAAGAACAAAAGATGATCAATCCGATTTCGATACAACAAGAGATACTTCTTTAACTGTATATGTGTATTGTTGTTTTAAAACAAAAACAAAAAAATAAACAAAATGCTTATATATATATAAGAATGTTACATCGGGGGATACCCTATATCTTGCAATTTATTTTTAGATTACATGTATACACATAATCAGTTGTTCTGAACTTAACTGTTAAATAAAGAGGGATCAATTTGTAACATAATTTTTAAAAATCAAACTGCAAGGCAACTGCTTAAAAATGATAAAATGCTTCTATCTAAATAATTATGACAACATTAAAATGAATCCATTGTTCCACTACCTTGAGGGGGGGGGGGATGTAGATGTAAAAAAGAAATTAAAACATATGATGCGGAAATGTCAGGTACTATGTACCGGTATATGGTGTACTAGTATTAAGATAAAATTCCTTGACGCTGAAATCTAGTAAATCTACACAAACTAAGTATTTTTTCAAAACTTTTGGCGAAAGAAGGACAACTCGAAGTTGAAATCAAACTCTGAATACCGTACGTTGTCTCAAGGGCTCATGGGCGTATATATATATAAAACGCAATGTGTTTAAAAATCAATCAAACGATTAGTATCATAGGCGATGGAAGGAAACTGGTGGTGGGGGAGGGGACTAAATTAAACAAAGGTTAGCCCGATTATCATTGCCCCCCTCCCCCCCCCCCCCCCGGTTCCGAGGCCCATGAGTATTTAATTGAATCTTATTAAAAAAACTGATATTGTTAGAAACAAATGTCGAGATATTCTTATCAACAGTTTTAATTTACTCTAGTTTTGGGGAAAAAATCCATTGCTTCGGGTCTTAAACCTTCCAGGCGGAAATTAAAATTTTCTAAGGATGTCATTACATGTACAGTGTATTCTTTCGGCAAAAGTTCAGATCAAGTAGCAGGAAGGGTGCATTTGTAAAAATAAATTAAAAACGCATTTGTAATTTTTACATTCATAGGCGTCGGAAGCAAATTGAAGTGGGGGCTATTTGACATTGGTTGGGGGGGGGGGGCTAAACCAACAAAAAAGGTAAACTCCAATTTTCATTGCCTTTATTATGTATATATTTGAAAAGGTGGGGGGTGGGGGGGGCTAAAGCTCCCCCCCCCCCCCCCCCCCCCCCCCGGTTCCGACGCCTATGACATTATCCAGGAAATTGTCAAATTTATATCTTTAAAAATAATTGTTTCACATCCAAGATATTTTTAATCGAAATCTGGATATATCAACAACGTATATTATTATCAACAAAATACACGAAAAAATTTTTGTGAAGTTATATTGTGCGCAATTTAATGACTCATGTGCACTGAGGTGCATGTTGCAAATTAACCATAATATATCTGTTTTTCTATCCTGCAGACTCGTTCGGAGCGTCCGAGGACACGAGTACTTGTGGTCGGACTGGATGGGAGCGGGAAAACCGCATTTGTGGAGTGTCTAAGTAAGGGAAAGGAAAAGAATGAAATGCCGCGACCAACTGTCGGCTTCAACGTCAAGTCTGTCACCATAGGGGACGTCATGTTCGATATCTGGGATGGTAAGAATCATTTTACATACAAGATACGTGTACTTTTACGATGGTGTGCTCGCCATTCAGTTAATGAAAATTCCCCGATTTCTTAAAAAAGAACCCTTAAAAACAAATGAATAAATTAATTAAATTTGATAAAACTAAAATAAAAGGCTGAAATAAAAAAAAACTAACTTATATTAACTACATGTACATGTTACAATCACATTTTAGACAAACGATCTACATATTTCTAGATATGAACTTTCAAGAAATACTTTTTGTTCATGAATTTCATAATGTAACATGCATAATCAGCATTTGAATTTCTTTGTAGTTGGTGGATCAGAAATGTGTAGAACTTATTGGAAGGAATTTGTAAAAGGGATCCATGTAATAGTTTGGGTGGTGGATTCAACGGCAAGCAAGGCGAGGTTAGAAGAGAATGCTGACGAACTGAAAAGGTTTCTGAGTTTGGAGGCCGCTAATAACATTCCAATTCTGTTTATTGCAAGTAAACAGGTAAGCATATTAAATTTATATGTAGTATTTTTAAACAGCTGTCAATAAAATATTAATAATAACTTTTTTTTTAATTACGTTCCAGAAAAAAAAGCAACAGAAATTTTATCACCAGACTGTTAAGTATTTCACATTTATTTTTATATTTTATTGATTTTTTCATTTTTTTTAACTTTCAGGATCGAGAAAATGCCCTTCCTCCAGATGAAGTGATGCGACAGATACAAGCACAAGAAAGTATTGGTAGAAACCGGAAGTGCGCCGTTGTTGGAACCGAGGTTGTCCCAGGTGGAGGACGGAAGGGGATATGGGATTCGTATAAGCAGCTTGTTTATTAACCTCATAGCATCATAGGGAATTGTTTTTATTTTGACAAAATAACTCATTTTTATTAATTATAAAATATATTTTGTATTGAATTGTAATCTTGATTTTTTTATACGGCGGTGTAGAGTCGGTGAATTTTATATAAATGTACAGTTCATTTTAGGCGTTTTTTGTGATACTAATGCAACTTTTAAAGCAAATACTTTTTGTTGTTTAATAATACTTTTATTGGTATTTTTACACAAATTTTTATTGTATACTTGTGAAAAATAAACGAAATATTTTAAATATTTTACTATATGTCTGTGTGTTTCCCTTTTTAATGTGAATGTGTGGAGCCCAAATGCACTGTATATAACGTATTTCTCTCTTATAGGATGTAGATGTATTTTTCTACTATCTGCAATAATGAAATCCCCTCCCCTTTTTTTTCTGATATTTTATGGAGAACCCCCCCCCCCCCAAGAAAAAAAGGGGGGTGGCGATATTAAAGCAGCGAGTTTCTACTTTCAATGAAACTATTTGCTGCATCATCTTCGCTAGCCAAAGGGTTCTTATACGCTAATCTCCTCATGAATGCTTAGCAAAGATGTAGTTGCGTTGAACAACATAGAACACTCTGGAAGATTTTTTTTGAATTCTATATAAAGCTGACATAAAATATAGAACACTTTATTCATGCACATTCAGACATTAGGCACGAACGAGGGGGTATCAAAAAGTTCTTGGACCTACGCCATAAAATTAAAACCGCTTTAGGTACATCAATGAATTTTAAAATATCTACTTAGCATTATCTTTTCTATCTATAGAATAAACCACAAATCGTAAATTTTATTTTTTAATAAGTCAGTAATGTTTTTGTAAACAATGGTATGTCCAGGCGGCGCAACTTCTAACACGACGTTTTTCGACCTACGTGGTTACGAAAAAATCTTTGGATATGAACATTTGAGATCCAAATATCCCATTAATTCAGGTTTGTGTTGGGACACTATTTTCCCATAAAATACGGAATTTTTATCTCGTTCTGGAAGTTCTATGAAAGTTTATCGTAAATTTTACATAGAGTATCGAAACAAATAAGGCCTTGAAAATAACGTCAGAAGGTGGGAGGGGTTTCCTTTTCCAACTTTCTATAAAGTTTTGCCCATAAAAACTGGTATAGACCTAGGAAATGTTTAAATTGGCTACGTGGAACTAAAATGCTTCCAGAGTACTTGTTTTTTAATGCCCAAAAGCGATTCAGAGAGAAAAGGGTCCGTGTAAAAATTCAAATTTCTAAAATGATTTAGAGTTTTAGAATGTTAATATAACAGTTCAAATATCTATAAGTTTCAAAAACTCAAACTGATTTCGTATATTGAAATTTAATATTTTAGTTCAAAAATCTAAATTTTTTAATTTCCAAACAGGTTTTAGAATTTTAATATTTTAGATTTTTACGTTGAATTTTCAAAATTAAAATTACCAAAAACGATTTTTGGAATTTAAACGTTTGAGTTTTTAGTCTTCCGTTTGTTCAGAAAGTTTACACTTAACAATCTGAAGTTTGGTAATATTTTTCATCTTTTAATTATTTGAAATTAGCTTCAAACTTCTAAAATCCAACTTTGAAACGTTTTAGATTTTAAGAAATTTGGAACTTTGATTCAAATGTTCTAATTTCAAATAACCTAGACACTTTAATTTTTAGAATTTTACTTTAAATATCCAAAATTTAAACCAGTTATGGAATTTGATATTTTGGATATTTGCAGTAACCTTCTAAAAACTCAAAATGTACAAAAGTGTTTTGGTTATTTAAAAGTTGAGTTTTTGACTAAAAATCTAAAACGTTTGAAAGTTGGAAGTTTGAAGTAAATTTTAAATAATCAAAAGACGAAAATGTTATCGAATTCTAGATTTAAGCGTAAACTTTCTAAACAAACTGTAGAACAAAAAGTCAAACGTTTAAAATACAAAAATCGTTTTTGGAAATTTGAATTTTGAATATTTAAGGTAAAAAAAAATCGAAAAACTTCTGAAACCTGTTGGGAAATTCAGATTTTTGAAGTAAAATGTAAATTTTAATATAACACATAGGTTTGCAGTTTTTGAAAGTTAGAAATTTAAAATAATATATTAACATTTTAAAACTCAAAATCATTTTAAAATTTCAATTGTTAAGTGTTACACGGACCGAAAAGGGTTACACAGTTAACGTCGATTTGTAGTCAAAGTGTGAAAGATCAATCATGTCAAAAATGACGCTGATCATGTGTTGTTGATATTGAACTCCAAAAAGCAAAATATGCTGGCACAATCAAGCAGAGGATCTCTCACAATGTGTAAATCCTTTTGCAATATTATAGGCATTGAAAGCCGCTGTTCATGACATTGTAAAGTCATATAATCAACACGGATTTAAACCCTTCCTCAGCTCAAGGGAACCTTATCAAAATTAGAGGTACTGTGAGCAACGAGCTCACTAAATGATACCCCCGCCTCCCATATGATTATAATGGCAGTGTCCATGTTTTGCTATGGGAAACCTAAAATATGCGTCGGATCAAAAAGTAAAATAAGAGGTGCACATTTGCAATATGTAATAAAGATTCTGTGAAAGTTTCATCAAATTTCATTCAGTGGTATGAGAGAGAGTTGCCGATAAGAGATGGGTACCCCAAAGCGTTACAGACTGACGGACGGACGTACAGACGGACTGACAGACATACCGATTACTATATACCCTCCCGCTTTTCAAGCGGGGGGTATAATAAGTGTTTGAGGTAGGAGAAGCGAACATTGAAAAATAATGATGTTCACGGTCGGACGTCATGAAACTAAACGGCGACGGCGCCGTGTGATCATATTTTAAAGGCCGAGGTTTTCAACCGTACGGTTTTCCTCAGGTAAGTTTGGTGTGGGGTGGAGCTTAATCGAAGCGGCTGAGAAGCCCCGAGGGAGCGACGCTGGCTTGTGTATACTACCTATATACACAGGATGTTACCTGAGTGTATTACCTGTATGCGTTTTCCTACGACTTTGTAAACCGAGGCCATTTTTTCATGTTTAGTTCATGAATTGAAATGCGAAATAAAGCATTTTTTGTTGCAGACAGAATCCTTCTCAATTTCTTTCTTTTAAAATAATTGATATTTTTAATAATTCGATTTTTTTATATACAGTGTGTTTCTTAATGAAGTGGTATAACGAAAATACATTTAGCACCAAAATCTGTCGTTGTAATCTGGCGACAAAAGGGGAAGTAATTCAAATTATCCCGCTTCAGACAAATTTGTCGATTACTGATTGGATAAAAGCTAATCACATGACGCCCTGAAATTTTCCGTATTACGTCTCCATTTTCCATATTACGTCTCCGTCCAGGCGTAATATCAAAATCGGGCACGGGATTCCGTTCGAAGCGTTGTTATTGTAAACTAGAGGTACTGTGAGCGATGAGCTCACTAAATGATACCCCCCGCCTCCCATATGGTTATAACTGGTGAAAAAGTCCATATTTTCTTGTGGCCGGGAAACTCAAAAAATGTGTCAGATCAAAAAATAAAATAGGAGGTGCACAATGGCAATATGTAATAAAGATTCTGTGAAAGTTTCATCAAATTTCATTCAGTGGTATGAGAGGAGTTGCGGATAAGAGATGGGTACCCCAAAGCGTAACAGACGGACGGACGGACAGACGGACGGACAGACGGACGGACGGACGGACAGACGTACAGACGGACGGAATTAACGATTAACGATATCCCGCTTTTCAAGCGGGGGGTATAATAAAAATGGCGGCTAAGAAACGGTTTACGTAGGTAGTTTAGTTAAATTTCTTGTTACCGTAACGATATTTTATGTCGATTGTTATTAGATTAAAACTGAATATTTTCAATAATATGCACAAATTTTCTTTTAATATTGAGAAAGGTCTTCAGCGGGATAAATTCGTAACACAGTCAGTTAGTGACCTAATACGGATTCATACAGGGTGTGAAATGGAAATCCGTATCGGACTGGCTTCGCCTCGCCCAATACGGATCTCCATTTCACACCCTGTATGAATCCGTATTAGGTCACTAACTGACTGTGTAACTAATATTAAGCGTCGTCTACGCAAAACGAAAGAAAAAAGTGAATCATAAAACAGTCTCTCGGTAAATAACAATGAAACTTAGAAACGATGTTTTAAAAATAAAATGTTGAAGTAGAAATATTATTATCTAAATAAATATCTTTTTAAGATAAACCCTACTTGATTTTTCCATAACACATGGTCGGTAAAAATGGCCCGGGCTTCGGACCGGGGTTGATTCCCCGACAGCTATGAAACGGGAATGGAACCATCTGCATCGTTTTTATTTTCTGTCGGGATTCATTATTAATTTCAAACATTAAATTCAAAGCAAGATGTTATATTCAGAGTAATTTCTCTTCTAAACTTATTATTATACCGTAACTTCGTCACCATGTCTCGAAGAAAAGCGACACGTACAGGTTTGTCTTATAAATATAAATTCGTTTGAACAATGTTACAATGTTGTCATATTTGTTTTAAAAAATAATTTTATTTAATTCTATGTCAGATACTAGCTTCAAACACAGGTCGGTTTATTTTGTTAATTAATGGAAGGAAGAATGTACTTTAACTCATGTTTTGACACGGAAATTAAAATTACTTGATTGTAATCGTGATATGAAATCCTCCCTTTTAAAATTAAATTTTTAATATATATTATATAGCCATGATTTTTCTTGTCATTTATTTAATTATTTGATAGATAGATTATATTTATGGCAAATTTTTATGAATTAAAAAGGAAAAGAACGATTTGATTGTTTCTTTATCACGTGCGGTAGGCATCAAAAGCCTGAAAGTTAATTCGATGGTTGGTACGATCTCCAGACAAGGTACACAAGATATACACAACAGCAGCAAACTAAATGTCAATCAAATCAAAGTATCCAATCCCAGGCTTAATTTCAGATGATTGACATGAGTTCTAAGACCAGGTAAATTTGAAGGAGGTGCTTATTTCCTCCCCCTTTA